AAGGGTTATTTTTCGCGGATAAAACGAATTTTCAGCGTATCTTTTGTGTAAATCTGGAATGTACCGAATTCTGTTTCACCATAGAATTTTTTGCGTGCGTCCATCTCAATCATAATTTCAGTCCCTTCAAGTTTGACAGTGGTTTTAATATAATTGTCCGCAGTAATACTGTTTGGCTCAAATGTAATTTCATCAACCTTTTCAAAGGGAATGGTCACTACCGAAGAGCCCCGTTTGCCTTCCAAAAAGATTTTACCTTCACGGGTCACGCGACCGGCAAGCGTTTTCACACCTTTACTGTCAACAAATTCAGCCTTAAAATCTTTACTCGGTACAGGGATGGTACCCCCGTCTCCGCCGCCGGTCATCGCATATACACCGGAAATATTCAGCAGCAGGTATAAGATGGCGAAGATTGGAAAAACGGTATAACGTACTAAAGAAGTCGCCGGCATCGCTGATAATAAGTTTTGAAATGTTGTAAATTATGACCCGAACACAAAAACTGTCAGTTATTATTACTCTTACCGTGCTGTTTGTCATTACCGTTTTTGCATATTTTTTTCGGCAAAACCGGCTGGCATACTTCCGGGATTATATGTCTGACAACATTAAAGAGACGGTACTTCTTGACAGCCGTGGGGAAGTGTTTTACGTGGTCGGCGGATATAACAACCGTGAACGCCTCAAAAGTATTGATGATGTTTCCGTTAATATCCGCAATGCCGTCATGGCACTGGAGGATGCCCGATTCTATGACCATATAGGAATTGACGTTATCCGCATAGCCGGCGCGCTGGTAAATGCGGTAAAAAACCCGGATCGCCTGCAGGGTGCCAGTACCATCACACAGCAACTGATGAAAAATACGGTACTCAGTCATGAAAAAAGTCTGTCCCGTAAAATTGCGGAAATCGGATATGCGCTGAGCGTGGAAACGGCATACGAAAAAGATGATATTTTCCGCATGTACCTGAACACAGCGTACTTCGGCAACGGTTATTACGGCGTGGAAAAAGCCGCGCAGGGCTATTTTGGAACACCGGCAAAGGACGTGCCTCCGGAAAAAGCGTGTATGCTTGCTGCTCTGATAAAAAAACCTGAAGGCTATAACCCGTTTAAAAAAGGCGATGCACTCAGCGACTTAACCCAGCGTCAGCACTATTGCCTGCGCCGGATGTACACGTTAGGCTATCTGGATCAAACAGCCGCAGAAGCCGCACTCACGACACGCATTGTCCTGACCGCCAAACCGCTTGACCAATCCAATTTTCACGAATTTTATGCCACTTGGGTACTGCGTCAGCTGGAAACCATACTGGGGTCTGATGTTGCCCGGACAAAGGGCTTGCGCATCCATACACCGATGAATCGTGATATGCAGAATATCATTGAGGATATTCTCATTCCCAAACCCGGCAAACCGGAACGCCCCAACGAAACCGCCGTCATCGTAATTGACCACCGCAACGGGAATGTGGTTGCCATGCTGGGCGGTAAAAATTTCAGCAAAAGCCATTATAATAAAGCCACCCAGGCGCGCCGGCAATTGGGATCATCCTTCAAACCCTTTGTCTATGCGGCAGCATTTGAGAGCGGCATATCACCCGATGATACGCTGATTGATGAACCGGTGGAATATTATTCAGAGAATGACAAAGGCGAAGTGCAGGTCTATATGCCGGAAAATTATAATCTGGAATACGCCGGACGTATGAGCCTGCGTGAGGCACTCATCCGCTCCAACAACATTATCAGCGTGAAACTGCTGAACGAAATCCGCCCGGATGCCGTAGTGCAGCTTACCAAGAAAATGAACATCGTGATTGACGGCAAAAAAGGATTGTGCCTCGCGCTCGGGTGTTCAGAACTGACGCTGGAAGAGATGGCGGCGGGGTATCAGATATTTGCCGCCGCGGGCGTGTGGCATCCGCCTGTATATATCACCCGCGTGGAAGACCGGCAGGGCAACGAACTCTACCGCCATGACTATAAAAGTACGCAGGTCATTTCCGAGCTGACCGCCCAAACCATCAAGGATATTCTGACGGAAACTGTCCGGAGCGGCACCGCCAAAATGGCGAATCCGGGTATTGTGCCCGCGGCCGGCAAAACCGGCACGACCGATGACTACCGCGATGCGTGGTTCATGGGGTTTACACCGGACTATACAGCGGGCGTGTGGGTTGGAAATGAAGACAACTCCCCGACAGACGGTGAGGTTGGCGGCGGCGCACCGGCGTTTATCTGGAAAGAGATGACCGTCCGCATGTACCGCAAAGCCCGCAAAACCGGTACAGCCGCAGACAATCAAACAGCCGGAAAAACTGACAGCAGAGGCACCGCCCCTAAACCGAATGCGCAGCGTCCTGCTCAACCTGCCGGCGGCGCGCCCGATAATACCGGTGCGGACGGTTTTGACAATACCGCGTCTGATGATTTTGACAACACCGACCCGTCCCTCCCTGACACCGACTTCTGACCTTTCCGCTGCGGCGCAGGTTAAGATTTATCCGTAACTCCCCTCTTTTTAATCAATTCCCTGCTTTCTGAAAGCACTCTGCTGCTTTATCTCTCACCTGTCGCCTTATAAGTGACTCCCAGATTATGCCATGCCTCCGCATAATCCGGGTTAATACTGATGGCTTTCAGATAAGCCTCCTCTGCTGCCTTATATTTTTCCTGCCCGCGATAAAGATTTCCCAGATTATACCGTGCCTCCGCCAAATCCGGGTTAATTTCAAGGGCTTTCTGACAAGCCTTAGCCGCCTGATCATAATATTTCTGAATGACATAAACACCCCAAGATTATTCCATGCCTCGCAAAATCCGGGTTAATTTCAAGGGCTTTCAGATAAGCCTCCTCCGCTTCTTTATATTTTTCCTGCCCGCGATAAACATTTCCCAGATTATACCGTGCCTCCGCAAAACCCGGGTTAATTTCAAGGGCTTTCTGACAAAGCCCCCTCCGCTTCTTTATATTTTTTCTGCCCGGCATAAGTGACCCCCAGATTATTCCATGCCTTCGCATCATCCGGGTTAATCCTGACTGCTTCCCGATAAGCCTCCTCCGCTTCCTTATATTTTTCCTGCCCGGCATAAGCGGTTCCCAGATTATACCATGCCTCCGCATCATCCGGGTTAATGTCTACTAATTTTTGAAAAAGTTTGGCTGCTCTTTCGGGCTGATTTTGATTACCGTAAAATAATGCCATACTGAACAGTTCATCTTTATCCGGCCATTCTTTTTGCCGGTGATTAAACTTTGCCAGCCCTTCCAGATCCGGATAAACGGTTTCTTCAGAAATGCCCATTAAGGCTAATTTCTTCAGTACGTCCTGCTTGTTAGTTCTGGATACGGTGTATGACGACAGACCTTCTGCGGCGGAAAGCCGGCCCGATTTGGCAATAATAAACAGACCGTCCTGCTTAAAGATGCGGGAACTGATACGGGGGGTGTCCCAGCATATCGGTTTCCTGCCCGCATCAAATTCCTTCTGCTCTTCTTGTGACAGTTGGGCATCCGGATTCATAGGAATAGCTTCGAATATCCGCCGGTCTATGAAAAATACTTTGCCGTCCCTGTCCGGTTCTTTTTCACAGGCAAAATAAAGCGCAAGCATCGGGTTATAGGTAAAATCAATCAGGTTGGTGGCGGCTCCCAAATGCTGAAGGTGCGCCAGCACCAGAAAGTCATTTTTACCTTTTAACTGCGGATCATCCAGTTTGCGGGCTTTGTTAATCAGATAAGTCTGATAATCGTCAATATCTGCAACTGACACGGGCGTCTTATCAGATGTTTTTTCCTTCAACCGGGAGCAGGCACCGGATTCCAAGCCCCACGATGCGTCGCCTGCCCGCGCCATATAAACCACTGACTGCCCTTTTTTTCAATGAATTTAAGAAAATCCTCTACGGACTTTATTTCCTGTTCTGACGGTTTAGCCATTTCAATACCCGAAGACGCTTATTTCCAATACACCCGTAAAATTATACCGTTATGACAAGAGTATAGCCCGTTAAACGAGGGGAGGCAATCTGATTTTTGTCATTCCGGAGGGCGGGAAATACGTTTTAATTGTGAATATCATTCAAACGGGCTGAATTTCCGTATTTTAATAGTATACTGCGTGTTATGCGGTATGTTTGACTTATATGGTGACACGTGCAGACGGTACACTCCGGGAATTTTAACCTCAGAAAATTATGGAATACAGACATCTGCTGATTGTGGAAGACGAGGAGAAGATCGCAACACTGATACGCGATTACGCGAAACCTCTGTTTGCAGATATTACAATTATCAGCAACGGCAACCGCTGCTCGGAGTATCTGGCGGCTAACCCGGCACCGGACTTGATTTTGCTTGATCTGATGCTGCCGGGTAAAGACGGGATTGAACTCTGCCGGAGGTGCGGGCGCGGGAGCACTACATTCCCGTGATTATGGTGACCGCAAAAACGGAGGAGACCGATAAGCTGCTCGGGCTGGAAATCGGGGCGGATGATTATATCTGCAAACCGTTCAGTCCGCGTGAGGTGATTGCGCGGATTAAGGCGGTGTTGCGGCGCAGTTTTCATGAAGAAGGGGACGGCGACGCGGAAATCCGCTTTGCACATATCATCATGAATACGGAACAGCATACCGTGCAGGCAAACGGCAAGCCGGTGCTGCTCACACCGAACGAATTTGGAATACTCAAGATACTGATTTCTCTGCCCAATAAGGTGTTCAGCCGGGGGGAGATTTTGCAGAAGGTACTCGGCTACAGCTATGAAGGCTATGACCGGACGATTGATACGCATATCAAGAACCTTCGCCGCAAGCTGATGCAGGCGGTGCCGGAAAAGGATATTATCAAAACGCTCTACGGCGTGGGGTATAAGGCGTCCGAAGAGTAAGGCGATTCCTGTTGACAGTTCCGCCGGGAAAGAGCATTATATTCAGTATTCATTTCTTGCTGCGGTGCCGCAACGGCACATTCCGCGCAGTATCCGGACGGGGACATAGCTCAGTTGGTAGAGCGCAACGCTGGCAGTGTTGAGGTCAGGGGTTCGATCCCCCTTGTCTCCACCAATCTCTAAATATCATTTTCCGGTTATAATCTCTTCAGCAGCGGTCGGCGGTGAAAGCGGTGATGTCTGCCAGAGACGATTTATTTAGTGCAAGCATAATGAGCCGGTCAACGCCCAGTGCGTTTCCCGAGCAGGGGGGCATGTTTCCGGTTTTCAGTGCTTCCAGAAAAAACGTGTCGGGCAGGTATTCCGTTTTGCCGAGTGCTTTGCGTTTGGCGGCCAGTTCTTTAAACCGGGTGTACTGCTCTTCGTATGAATTGATTTCCTGATACCCATTGCATAATTCCACGCCTTTATAGTAAGCTTCAAAGCGCGCGGCAGTCTGACCGTCCGCGTTGAGTTGCGCGAGTGCCGCCTGTGAGAGCGGAAAATCGCGGACAAATATCGGGCGTTCCTGCCCAATCTGCGGTTCAATCAGGAGTCCCATCAAAAAATGCAGGTATTCATCGGGATCGGCAGATGCGTCTAATGAAGAAGGAACTGTCAGATTGTGTGCGGTGCATAACGTGCGGAACAGTGAAAAATCAATATCAGAAGGCGTATATCCCGTATAGCGGATGAAGAGTTCGTTATAGTTTATAATTTCGCCGGACCCGCAACCGATAATTTCCTGCAGCAAGTCGTCGGTTTCTGCAATTATTCCGTCAAGCGGCATATCCGGCGCGTACCACTCCAGCATTGTAAATTCAGGATTATGTATCGTGCCGAATTCATCCTGTCGAAAACAACGGCAAAGCTGAAAAATTTTCCCTGCTCCTTCACACAGCAGACGCTTCATCTCGTATTCCGGACTGGTACGGAGATAGCGGACAGGTTTTGACGCGAACGGGGTTGCCGGAACAGATTCAATATAGACTTCCAGCGAAGGAAAAGAGGTCAGGAACGGGGTTTCAACTTCAGTATAGCCCCGCCGGTTAAAAAAAAACGGATACGGCGCATCAGCGCATCGCGCTGACGGAGCATGTCCGCTCGGTTACCTGCTCCGGGTAAGGTGGGTGCAGAACTCATCCGTTTGGATTTTTAACGCGCTCTACATAACTGCCGTCGCGCGTATCCACTTTGATATATTCGTCCTGATTGACGAACAGCGGTACACCGATAACAGCACCGGTAGACAGTGTTGCAGGTTTAGATGCGTTGGTGGCGGTGTCCCCTTTGATTCCCGGCTCGCAGTATACAATCTGAAGGACAGTAAAGTTGGGCAGACTGATGCTGATGGGGGCTTCATTCCACAGCAGCACAGCGACCTCCATATTTTCCGTCAGCCATTTGCTCTCGTCTTCAATTTTATCCTTCGGAATTTCTACCTGCTCATACGTCTCGGTATCCATAAACGTATATACCCCGCTGTTTTCATACAGGAACTGCATGGGTTTTTCTACAACATTTGCCGGCGGGACTTTATCGCCGCTTTTATACGTTCGCTCTATCACTGAACCGGTAAGCAGATTTTAATTCTGATGCGCGCAAATGCCTGTCCCTTACCGGGTTTGACGAGTTGGCAGTCAACGACATTAAAAGGGTTGCCGTCGATTTCTATTTTCATTCCTTTTCTTAAATCATTCGTTTCGTACATACACGGAAGCGGTTGGTTTGGGGATAACTCAACCGTTCAGCCGGAAATACCCGGCAACGGTCAAGCAATAAAAATTCAGTAAGATTGCGGACAATAATATAAAATATATAATTATATTTATTGTTTAAAAGTTTCTTCCAGCATGGCGGAAAGTCCGGCACGGGTTGATGTTTCCGGATTATTTTCCCGCTCCTGTGATACCGCAGACGGTTTGGCAGACTGTACGCTGCCGGGCATTTCTGACAGATAAAATATGCCCAGATTTTCAGGAATTTCTTTGACCGTATCCTTAATCGGCTGGAGTCCGAATTGAGCGGACAGGCTTTCCTGTGCTGTCGTTGCTGCAATAATATCATCAATTCCCGCATAACGGCTAAGAACGCTCAAATATGCCGCCGTTTTCCCGACTATTGAATTGAAACTGAACGACCCGGAATTTAATTTCCCGATCACCGCCGTCCCGCGTATCAGAGAGGCCGTGAACTCAATTTCACTGCGCGATCGAAAGTCATGCTGGGTACAAAACATTGTCAGATTTTGCTTAATCTTCAGGATATTTGCTATAACTGACACCTCGTCCGCTCCTGCATGATCATAAAACAGAATGAACGCGGTACCGTCAAAGTTCAGAATACGTCCCCCTGCTTTCCCTGTCTGATCCTGTATAAACTCAATCATACTGAACAGCAGTTCATTACGCAACTCCGGTTTTGATTTTTCAAGGCGTGCCTGCATACCCAGGATACCAATGCGACAAAACATGCCCTCCACAGACTGGAACTGTTCCTTTTCCGTGCTAAACTGTTTATCTTTGAGGATTTGTGTAGATTTCTCCAGATTTAAAATTTTGGCGGCCTTTGCAGACAGGTTATCGCGTAACTGACGCATTTTATCACAAAGTTCGCCGAGTTCATCTCTGTAAGAGGGAATCTGAATATCAAAATTGTCCAGTGCCAGATGGTCTGCCGTGCTGGTAATCTGCCGGATGTTAATGGAAAGTTTGGCGGTGAAAAAAATATCAGGCAGAAAACAAACAGCACTGCCAGAAAACTGATGATAAAAATAAGTCTGAAAAAATCACTCAACTCTTTACTCAATACCTCATCATTGATGAGTACCTGAATATAGACAGGCACAGTCCCGTCTGCCCCGATAATTTTCTTGGAATAAAGGCTGACCGTTGTGGATTTTTCGCCGGTTCCCAACTGCAGTTTATACCCGTTCTGTTCTTTAAGCAGTAAATCCATCACCGTCTGATCCATACGGCTGTTAATATCAGACTGGGAAGTAGAAGCAAGGACATAACCCTGCCCGTCCACAATATCCATGCGGTAAAGTTCCGGATATTTAGTGTCTGCGTCCGCTTTTACACGATTAATCAGACTTATATAATCACCGGACGCCCCTCTCAACACGTTTTCAGCCGACAGAAATACTGACTCCCGCTTGAATTGTGCCGATACAACAAGTTGCCGGCGGTAGTCTTCGGTCACTTTTACATTAAGATAAACCAAACACGAAATAACTATAACAGTTGCCGTGAGACTGATTTTAAGCGGTATGGATACTGATTTTACTTTAAACATAACTACCGTCTTAGAAATTTAAAAATTTTACGTTTTGCTCTGCCCAAAATCTTTCTCAAATAGGGTGTAATTTTATGATATTTATAATATCCTAGAAGTTTTGATTGTATTAGATTGTAATATTTTTTTGAAATTTTGCTCTCTTTACATAAAAAGCATCGCCCAATTATATTCTGTAAGAAAAAACTCAACCCGTTCAAATCCTCTTGTGTATAAAAATTTATCCAAATCGAATAATGTAGCACATTCCAAATATACTGATTCAATATTAATTTCAGTATAAATATATTCAAAATTATCTAAAAAATTACCTAATCCCTTTAAAGAAAGCAATTCAGCTCCCTGCAAATCAATATTTATAAAATTCAAATCAGAAATATTAACATTATTTTTAGTAAAAAATGTATCCAGTCTCGAAGTTTTTAATTCCAAAACATGGCTGACCGTTACATCGGGATGATGTTGTTTATGCGTACCCAAATCAAGTATACTTGAAGATTGCATATTATTGGTTATTTTAAACTGAACCGGCTGCTCATCTTATCGGAAATTAAAACGTTATATGCAACATGGTTAGAAAAACCGGCTATTTTTCTCTCAAGTTCGGGCATCAGTTCCGGATTACCTTCACCCAAATTACCCGATTAATATTTAAATCTTGGTAATCAATGGCTTCTTCAGCCTGATGCGCCCCTAAATGTAATACACCGGATATATTTAGATTAAATTTATTGTAAAGTGTTTTAAGAGAAATCAACATAAAAACTTAATAGTTTAATTGCATTAGATTATTATTCATCATGCTCGACTACGCGCAACATCTCATCCAAAGTGGTGATGCCGTCCAGAACTTTCATCATACCGTCTTCCATCATACTGATTAAGCCGTTACCTTCGGCAACTGCACGAATGGCGGCTGCATCCGGATTAATGTTAATCTGCTTTTTGATGTCTTCATTGATAAACAGGAATTCAAAAATCCCCACCCGTCCGGAATAACCGGTCTTCAGACACTTGCCGCATCCTTTTCCGCGGGAAAGTACTCCCTGAAAGTACTCTTTCATGCGATCAGGGAAGCCGGCTTTTTGCAGGACACTCCATTCAACAGGGTACGACTCTTTGCATCCCGTGCAGATTTTTCTGACCAGACGCTGCGCCAGTATTGCTTTTAGTGAGCTGCTGATAAGATATGGTTCAATTTCCATATCTACCAGACGTACAATCGTTGCACAGGTATCGTTCGTGTGCAGGGTACTGAATACCATATGCCCCGTAAGCGAAGACTGGATGGCAATCTGCGCGGTTTCTTTATCGCGTATCTCTCCGATCATAATCACGTCCGGATCCTGACGCAGAATGGAACGCAGACCGGCCGCAAAAGTCAGCCCTACTTTTTCATTCACCTGCACCTGTCCGTAGCCCGGAATTTGATATTCAACCGGATCTTCAATTGTGACAATGTTTTTGCGTGTCTGGTCAAGGTGATTGAGTGATGCGTAAAGCGTAGTCGTTTTCCCCGAACCGGTGGGCCCGGTCACCAAGAAAATTCCGTGCGGCAAATCAATCGTATTGACCAGATATTCCTTCATGCGGGGAGAAAACCCGATTTGGTCAATACCCAGCACACCGGTACTGGAAGTCAGCAGACGAAGAACCGCCCGCTCACCGTGTACAGTGGGCAGGATAGACACGCGGATGTCAATTTTACGTCCGCCCAACCGGATCAGAGTCCGCCCGTCCTGCGGTCTGTTTTTGGTAGATATATCCAACCCCGCCATTACTTTGATACGGTTAATAAATGGCATATGTCCGTATTTAGGTACTTTAGTAACCGCA